TTAGGGTCGCTATTATTTTCAAGGTGAGAAAAAGTGAAATCTTTTTGTTTAATGCTGTTTGCTGTATTTCTAAAAGACAAGTGGCGGGAGTGTGAATATTTTCCTAGGCTATCAATCGTGCTATAAATGAGGCGATTTTATTTCTAAGACTGCCACCAGATCAGACGTTCTGACATAATCGCAAAAAAATAATTTGCTGAAAACCCATCGTTGCCCTTTTTTACGTATTTTTTTATGATGATTAAATACTTGAATTTAGGGAAGCATTTCAACTTTACGGGTTCTTATGCTTAATACGTCAATAAGGAGTAAGTCAAGTTAGTTTCCTGCAATTGATATGAGTAATTTTTCATATGAAAAAAATTGTTTTAAATGGGTATTTTTGTGTCTTCTTTAAAAAGCAATAAAAAAAATTAGTTCCATTTTAATTTGAATCGCAAAGAATAAAATAACAACTGTAAATATAAACTAGAAGTTTATTAATCTTCATCATTTCTTTTTAGAATATCAACAATTATTTCCACCATAAAGCAAAGAGTACTAAGTAACAAGGATAAGCCAAGGGATATTATTCAACAGGGTGTGAGACTAAAAGACTTATATAAATTCGCCACCTTGAAACTACATAATTAAGGCCTCGTGTTGTATTATAAACAATAAAAAAAAATCACAAAAAGCACATATATGCAGCTAAAAAATTGTTTAATGATCAATGTCTTTTGAATTCCGAAAACAAATCGCGTTCCGCGTGGCAAATAATAAATAACGAAATAAAATGTGCGAAAAAACACTGGATTTTTTTTCTTGATACAGACGGGGAAAAAGTTACTAATATGACTTCGGCTACAAATTGTTTTGACAATTTTTTCGTCGATTTAGCCAATAGTTTCAAAAATATGCTTTCACCACATAAAAATACGATCTCGCTAAATGTAGCTCTTGCAGAGAGCATGTACTTGAGTCCATATTTATGTACAGAAGTTAGTAATATAATTCTGTCTGTCGCTAAGATGTATTCAGCGGGTTCGGACGGCATTCCCTGCGCTGTGTTAAGGCATATGGTCGACACTATTGCAGAACCGATGGCATATCTCATTAATTATTCCTTTTTGCATGGATCCTTTCCCAGAATTCTAAAAAATGCAGTAAGAATTATTTCAAATTATAGAGCTATAGCACTCCTATCCGTTTTTTCAAGAATCTTCGAAAAAGCACTGCATTTAAGACTTTCTAATTTTTTGGAAAGTCGAGACGTTTTTTCCGGCATGCAATTTGGTTTTCGAAAAAACCGATCTACGCAGGATGCCATTCTCTCTTTATATAAGCATATTCTCACCCAGTTAGAAGAAAGGCAGCAGACAGCATGTGTTTTGTTCGATCTACAAAGAGCATTTGACTTGGTCGATGTTGATATTTTAGTGGACAAGCTTTGTTCATATGGTATTAGACGTAACGCCTTAAATTGGTTAAAGTATTTTCTTGGGGGTCGTACGCAGTTGGTCAAATTGAGAGATACCTTAGGATTTGAATACGTCTCTGATTCCAGGTCAGTGAATTGAAACTCAGGGAAGTTTACTCGGCCCTTTATTGTTTATAGTGTTTATAAATGATGTATTTTCATCTTTCTCCCATACTTACTTTTCCCTTTTTGCGGATGATGCAGTTTCTACCCTTTCTGCAACATCGTCTGAGCAACTTAGCATTGCAACCAAGACAACGGTTGAGCAAATGAAACGTTATGCAGAAATTACCAAATTGATATTGAATAAAAGTAAAACTGAGATGATCGCCTTTTCAACACGGGATTTAAATAAGTGTTGTAAAATTCCTCGGAGTTTATGTAGACTCGAGACTCTCCTGGTTCCAACAGGTGGACCACATTCGCAGAAAACTTTCTGTTTACTGCTTGGTCATATGGAGGCTCCGCCATCAGGTTTCTTTCCCCTTGTTAAAAATGTACTATTTTTCGTATGTCTATTCGTGTCTCAACTACGCCTTGGTTTGTTGGGGAGGTTCCCCACGTGCCGAGCAAGTCAGAAACGCATTTTACGGACTATACTGTTTAAGCCCTGGAATTTTTCATGTCGGAACCTATTTCCACAACACTCTTTATTGACACTTCCTAGTAAGTACATACTAAATTGTGCCACGTATGTAAAAAGTAACTCTAATCTTTATATGCCCTCAAGAAACTCACATATTCAGTACAGTTTAAGACCGAATCTTAACATAAAAAAACCTACACATCGACTGTCTCTTACAGCAAATAGTCCCTTTCTCTTGACTGTAAAAATTTATAATAAATTGCTTGTCGAACTGAAGGAGATAACTATTCAAACAAAATTCAAATTGCAATATTAAGGATTTTCTTTGTTGTGATACCTTTTAATACGTATTCGTTGTTTGTTATTGTTTATATATTTGTTATTTATCCATCAGTATTACTTAGTATTATTATTAATTTACTAATTACACTAAGATAATTTTATACTTTTACATTATGCTGACAATATCCAACACTTGTAAATCAAGTCTTATGGAAATAAAACGGGTTTTTAAAATTTAAGTGGCAGCTACTCCCCTTCTGATTATGTCAGAAACCCGAAATTAATTTCTAAAAATTATTTTTCAAATTTCCAGGACCATCAGTTTCCTTAATACCCGTTACATCATATTTAGGATGAACGCGGTACGATTGTTCAAGACAGTCTTTTTCTGAGATTTAGGTCAAAGTATTACAGATATGGACCTGCAGAATCGAACAATTTATATTCGAGTTATCGTTAACTTGCAATTATTGAACTAATTAAAATTTAAATTGCGAGCAATTCCGGAAAAACGTGCCGGAATAAAACTTCAGTTTACTTAACGGGACCTGCCATTCGGAAATTAATTCACTTATCCTCCCCGGATTCGATATCAGAACCACCCTGGCGAATGAATCTTAACGATAACGAATTTAAGCGGGTTTTCATTGAAAATTTTATCCTTGGGCTATGGAGTTTTATGGTGATTTATAACGAATTTGGAAAGAAAAATATTTGCTTGAGCAGAATATCATACTTGTAGGGTGCACTCCCTATAAGTGGATAGGAAGCCATTTTTGAGGAGAAAATGTTATTAATTTGATACTAAATTAACATCAGAAGTAGGATTGAACCTTGTGATCTGATTAACCTCGTGTCGAGTGCCATTATTAAGACCGAATTAAACGCTAAAGGTATCTCCTAAATTAAATTTAGAAATTTTTAAATTTAAACTCAAATTATTGTGTTGTAGTTATTTCCATAAACGGCAAAGAAATATGGTAAATTATTTTAAACTTGAACATTGTCAGCGGCAAGTAACGTTATTTTTAATTATTTATTTTTTTTAAAACCATATCTGTAATTCACAAATACCATTGCAGTTTTTGTTGTGTGAAATGAGTGATCTAAAACCAATGAATCCGCACGTTAGAAAAAATGCCTGTGCGATTGGAAGAACAAACCAGAAAACCTTTAAGTACGTTTAGACTTTTAATATTGTCAAAGCTTCATATAACCTAACATCTTCAATGCTTTGTTTATTAGACGGTCGTTGTTGTCTGCAAATGTTACCCAGAATCCAGTAATCTTCCCGGTTTGAAATCCACACTATTTATTTTTAGGACTAAGGGCTTCGCTGAAATACTAAATCGCATGCAGCGTGTGTTACGCCCCTTTTGTATTGCCGCTGGGAGGTCCATTACTGACCTAAATATATGCCGGAGTACAGATTGTACTCAGATAAATGTACAATTTACGCGTTAGTCAATTACTACCCGCCATTTTCACGTTACGCTGGGCTAACTAAACGCATTTGTTAATTTCAGAAGCAGTTTTAGTCAAGTGTGACGTTTCAATTGGCAACCCGTCCTATTTCTCTATAAAGGGTTCATGCAAAGCTTTGTTCCTAGTAATGAATTTTGATTTTGACTTCGAATAAGAATGGACCAGCATGCTAAACTTACCTGCCTTAAGTGTGGATTTTAATATCAAACGTAAAGTTATTGTGCATTTTAAGTTGTGTATGGAATGTGTTTTTTCTAATACCGTCTGTAAAATACCTAATTACACACCGAACTTGCTTGCGGGAAGAATCACTTTACCACGTCTGTTTCGTTTCCCACGGATCCGAGCCACTTCGGACATTTCCTGGATTTTATTGCACGGGTTTGGGAGCAATCGGATGTTTTCGGAGATATTTGCCACGTCTTGAATTTTGACATTTGTCAATTCCGGTGAATGTATTCGTGTCGGTTTGCAATAATGTACCCAAAAACTAATACACAGAAAAATATTATACAAAATATCAGACAATTTAAATACTACGTGCTGTAAGCAACAATTTAAATCTAGTGGATTATTCGGTAAGTAAAGTGACATTTATAATTTAAGTTTCCCAGAGAAAATGTTCATACCGTTCGCATGAACTTTGGTGGTTTTTTACAGTTTTTATATTAATATCTTGGCAAGACCAATTGTACCATTTTCAAATATCCTTGTCCCATCATTACAAATAGAACTAAATTGAAGGTTAGGACCTGCTTTTTCTTGCTTATACCATCTTAAAAATTTAATCTTCTTAAAAGCTCTATATATTATTTTCGCTCCCAACTCGTAAAATACCCATGGATGTTTTCAATGTTTCGTCAGGAATGGTGTTTTGATGTCTCCATAGGGGGAGCAGGTAGGAGCGATATGTAACTCAATTATGGCTAAATTTGTTGTTTTTTTTATAATAATATATTATACATATTATTTTAATGTTATTTATTCAATTCAGTAAATTTTCCGATAAAATGATCTGCGCAAAATGGGAATTTCCAAGAATTTATTGGAACGAGATATAAATTATGGCGAAATGTAAACCAAGCAAATGTCTTTGTGACGTTTCTGCAAAAAAAAGACACCGAGTAAAAATTTTTTGTACCTCAAACAAAACCTTCGATGAAAATAATGCCCTTTTGTTATTCAAAGGAATCCGGCGAAGACGCGAAGCGTATTGTGGTTTGGGAAAATGGAGACTTTAATGGCGAAGGTCGCGCGATTTTCATCAACCCGAAATATGTTCAAACTTGGGACGACGTTCTCAGCATCTTGACGGACGTTTTGCGACCGAAAGGTGGCTCAGTCAGCAAGTTGGTAAACTTGAGGAGCGAAGAAGTTGTTGAATCCTTCGAACAGTTGGAATCAAACGGGAGATATGCTGCGGTGATCGATCCAAATATGAAGCTATCTATATCACGGTTAGCATTGTCATTTTAAATCTTCTTCTGGTCTTTTAGCAGAGTTAGAAAATAGTTTTAACTTTGCATAAATTTAGGTGATGCTCAATATTTGGTTTTTGGCATTAAAAATGCATATTTTGAGGTAATTCCAAACAAAAAAATATTTTTTCTACTCTCGTCTGTAAAATACCTAATTACACACAAATCTAGCGTGCGGAAAGCGTCGCTTTACCACGTCAGTTTCGTTTCCCATGAATCCTAGCCATTTCGGACATTCCGGGATTTTACCGCACGGATTTGGAAGCAATCGAAACTAGTGAGTCAAATGCCATTTACCGCACTTGTTGCATAATATACCATTTTATTACCGTACCTTTTCACCTACAAAATTTATGTGAACATTATGCAAGCAATCATATTTAACTGGTAATTATAAAGAATAGTATATTATGCGGTAAACGGCATTTCACCCACGAGTTTATTTGATACGAGCGCAGCGCAGCGGAGCGAGTGTTTAATAAACGAGTTATTTAAAAAGTTTACCCAACTTGTTGCATACTATACTTTCTATACGACTATTAGTTTTTGGGTATATCTCCACAAAACAACACGAATGCATTCACTGACATGACCGTCAGAATTGACAAACGTCAAAATTCAAGACGTGGGAAATATCTCCGAACACATACGACTGCTCCGAAACCCGTGTGGTAAAATCCCGGAAATATCCGACCTGGCTCGGATCCGTGGGAAACGAAACGGACGTGGTTTAGTGACGCTTCCCATATGCTAGATCGGTGTGTAAGTAGGTATGTTACCGAAGGGAGTAGAAAAACCTAATACAAATTATATACCAGACGTAGTGCAAAATAGACTGTATATTTCATATTAGTTCTATTTACAATTTATACAAACGATTTATATTTTGAGGTTATTAGTTAATATTCTAGTATTACATATTCATCTACAGAAGTAAAATAATATTGTTATACGGTGAACGGCTAATATCTGAAACAAATTCATTTAGAAGTCATTTATTAGATTTCAAGAAAAATGCTCGCAGAAGTTTATCATAATTATTTTTCTTGGACATTTTTTGCAGTAAACAGAAAATATACAGGGTGGATCAAAAAGTTGATGTCGATTCCAAGTTCATTTTTCAGGCACAATTTTTGTAGTGGACCCTATACCTGCCTCTTTATGGGCAAAAGAATAAAAACCAAATTTAATTTAGAAATTAACATTTAAGTAGCTAGTACCAGTAAAGTTATTAAATTGTCACCATTATATTTCTGGCAGAAAAGAAAGGGAAAATGGTCCATCTAAATGAAACCTAGACAAAACGAGAACTCAGAAAGTTTGTAATTTGTTTAACGCAAAATATCCAGAAATAACCATTACAAGATCAACAGTGAGTAAAATTGAGAGAAAATTTATAGTAATAGAGCACGTAGAAGATCGATATCGGATTTTTAAACTTTTAAACTCTATATTTGATAATGCTAAAAAACTTTTGTACATTGTAAAAACTGATTTGAGTGAAATCGAGTTAACTCAAGGAAAACTAACACAGTCAAACGCATTTGTTGTTATTTCCGGGTAACATCTAAATGTTTGGGAACTACTAAAAGAATATGTTGGCAAGTTTGGTTTGGTTTTTCGACCAACCTAAATTAGCAACAAATTTTCGTTGTACAGAAACGTATTGCCGATTTCATCATTCAATAAAATTGCAATCCATTACGGAAATAAAACACCACAAAATGCTCTGTTAATATATGTCGCTGATCTTCTTTCGTTACGTATCCCAGTTTTTTATGTAAAAATGTTGTCCTATAAACCAACCGAGGTATATTTTAGGTGAATTACAGCAATACACTTGCAACTTCTCCACAAGAAAGGATACTTCTACAGTTTTTAATTTCGTAGGGATTGTTTGTAATTTTGCTAGTTGGATCTATTGAATATGTACAATAAAGTGTATTTCATTATCAGACATGGTTGTTGCGGCATTTTCCACAAACCACACACCAGAAAAACTGTTAACGGAACCGGGAATAATTCTTTATTGTCGCTTTTACAAATAGAATGGTTCACAGGTAATGAGTAAACATTCTGAAATATTCAATACGTCCACGTTTGTTTACTATCAGCAGCTCCACTTATTTACTTACATTCATGCAGGGGGCTTTTAACTATTACAACTTAACAACATGCTTTATGTATATTTAACACAATCGTAATTTTCTACAAAAAGGACTTTTGGGATACAATTAATTCAGTCCAGTTAATTACAAGACACAAATTAGCAACATAAACTATTGTATTTACTAATGGATAGTTAAATCCATTTAAAATTTATTGAAAAATTTCAACTTTCAGGCGAATATTTTTACATTTTTGTATAATTGTTACAAGTAATATTTATTTTCGTGTTTCATTTTTTAATTTTTGTATGTGATAATCCAAATCAACAATAATATGCAATCAGTTTTAAAAATATACTCTTTCATTTAGATCACATGTCATATAAACGTTTTTTTGGGCTTTGGTACAAATTTATTCCACAAAAAAAATATTTACCTGCTCTGTTGGTATTTTAATTAAAAATATTAAAGAGTGACATCATTATTTCGAAGGGGTCCTCCGTCGCTTTCGAAGCGTAAAATTTGGGGAATTCGACAAGATCCCGTAAACAACAGCAACAAATTTACCAAAAAGCGTGAAATAATCCGACTGGCATCCCTTAAATTTAATTACCCTTGTATTTCTTCGTCACTGATGGAATAAATCGCTGGCACGATAAAGGGAAGGGAAGCCACCAATTATACGATTACAAATACGTTAACTTTAGGTTCAAGACCTTAAGCCAAGGACGCGGATTAGATCGGACAAGACGTCTTCCGGAAAAGGTCGATGCGGGAGTCGCAGACCGGGAAACTCCGACATACGAGATGTGCCGAAACGTTGCATTAACGCAGACGGAAGTAGTCGCTAGGGGCGGGGCGTTGACTCATCATCCTGCGGGGTGTTTCTGCGGTCCTGAAGCATGCGATAGTGGGTAACTGGAATTAATTAATTAATTTGGACAGGCAGAATTCCGGTTAAATGTCTTTGGTTTCCAGGTAATTTAAGAAAATGTCTAGAGACGCCATTTAGTACGTTTATATTATCACGACCCCTTCAAATGTTGCGTTTACGTTAAAATGACGTCATGTGGGCAATATATAGAGGGTACCATAAATTAAAATATGAAGATTTGTTTAATAAATGCGATAGCAAAACTTAATTCTCTAGAGATTTTAATTAAGAGTAATAAATAACTGACAAAATAACGAAAGCAATTACAATTTGGTTTTCGCACAGATCGATATTTACAAAGAAAGAATGACAATTCTCTAGTATGAAATCAAAATAGTCTCAGCTTTACAGTTAATTTTACTTTAATTTTAATTTTAATTTTAGTTTAATATTTGAAAAATAATAGAATTTTTGAAAAATTAAGTTTCATTTTCAACATTTTAATTTGATACAAGTATATCGAACAATGTTTTTTATTTTAATTTATAGAATCAGCTATGGCTCTATAGCGAATAAGTTGTGGGGAACCCGGTGTAGCTACTAGATATACAGGGTGTTTCAGAATTAAGTATTTAATGGCATATTTATCCCGCAAGGATAAGCATGTGCCTTAAATTGCTTTTATATTAATTACTGAATTATTTTCATTAATCATTTCAGTGGCGTCTTAAAGAGTGATATAATTGATATGGATAGGTAAAATCCTGATACGCTACAGATCTGTTAAAGATTTAATAATTTTTTTAGATAAAATAATCAAAAATGAGGCTTTTTTGATCTCTCCGTTTTTTTTTTCATTTATTTTAAAATAAATATAAAAAAACCGTTGCTCTGCATGTTCCTGGGCTTTCGCCAAGAAATCGATTTTTTATTAAATGGCTCTCGAATTCTTTGAAAGTAATTTTCATAAAATGGGCATATTTACTTATGGGTTACAAAATTCGTATTTAATAATTAAAATAGTTGTATTGACTTTTGAAGAAAATGATAATGAACATTCAATATTATGGGAATCCCCATGTCATTTCCTGATATTTTACCAATAAGACCTTATCGCCATCAACATCCAACATGTCCACTGCCCGTCAATTCCTTAGTTTTCAATTTTGGAAAAACGAATTAAGTCTGTGAGGATCACAAAGAAAATGGCGCAAAGTAGGCCTTAAGTCAGTCGTTCATTGGTCGGCAACACATTATACACAATTATTTTTTAAAGTTTACATTACTTCTTCTTCTTATTATTATTTTAAGATTATGTCTTGTGTTTTCAAGGAAGCAGCCTAAGTTGTGACTCCTCTCATACCAGCGCTTTGGTGGTCTCCTGGGAGGTCAGCTTGTATTGGGTCTCTCTTCCTTTGCGATTTTCGCCAGTCGATCGTCTTCCATTCTATTGAAATGATTTCTCCATGCTCTTCTTTTAGTTCTGGCCAATCTCACTATATCCGGAACGTCACCCATTCTTCTAATTTAATTGCTCCTTATTCTGTCTCTTGGCGTTTTCCCTGTGATTGAGCGTAATGTCTTCATCTCGGTCGTTCTAAGAATCTGTTTAGCAGCTGCAGTCTCCGCCCTCGTTTCTATGGCGTATGTCGTCATAAGTGGTCTAACACAAGTTTTATATATCCGTGTTTTGCTTTCGATACTTCAGTATTTATTCCTCCATATCACGGTTCGAAGGAATCCCGATATCCTAGATGCTACCATTGTTTGCATTTTTACTTCTTGTTTCAGGTTCCTATTGCTCATGATGTTAACCCCTAGATACTTAAAAGACATAACCTGCCACCCCACTTTTATTATAAATTGCCAGTTTGCATTTTCTGGGTTCTCTCGCTATTGTTAAGGATTGTGTCTTCTGTGTCGATATGATCATATTGAATTTTCCTGCTTCAGCTGTTTCGAATCTGTGTAGTAGTTCTTGCAGATTATCCTCATTTTCTGATATTACAACCGCATCATCAGCGTAGAAAATTATCTTAAACTCATGTTTTCCCATTCTGTATCCTCTACCTGCAGTTTTAAATTCTTTGACTATTTCGTCCATTATAATGATGCAGAGTATTGGAGTGAGGCTATCTCCTTGTCTGATCCCTGTTGATACTGGTATTTTACTGGATAGTTCTTTGTTTACCCTTATATACGTGCTATTTCCGCTGTTCATGTCCCGAATAATGTCTATTGTCCTTTGGTTTACGTCTCGTTCTTTTAGCAGCTCAATGACGTGATTACAGAATGTGAAAACAACAGGTTTTCTTTTTTTATACAGTCCTCGTCTCTTTAAATCATTAGAGCAATGATATGCAGCATCCTTAAAGCACAAACGAAGAACGGATTTATAATAAATATCATAGCTAACGCGAATACAAAAATAAAAAAAAGCTTCAAACTTTGTCCACCCCATTTTTAAATTCAGGCTCAGCAATTTCGTCAGCGCCGATAACCGAAGGTTTCCTTTGGCTTTTTTCCTGTCAGGATTTAATTTAAATTTAATACGTTGTATATTGAACTATAAGTAATATAAATTAAGAATTTTCTAAACAAAATTGTATAAATGAAGTGTTTCAACAATGCAGTATTCATTTTAAGGTATTTACGTATTTATACCTTTACTCCATTGCAATTAGAAAGTGTGGCACAGAATTGTATCAATCTTCGACTGATAATATGACTTGTAGAACGCCCCTGGGAAGATTCAAAAGGGACTTTGATTAAAAATGCAGGATCACGTTAATCTCGGCACGGAATGGAATTATCCGCAGGCGAAATTTCCTGCTTCCATTATATACTGACAAACGAGTTAGTAATAAAGGAAAATCGATTTATTGACATACCCACGTGCTCTTTAATTTCAAACTTATCAAATAGTGTACGAAACGGGAACGACAAAGACGTCTATTGACAGCGGAATAAATTAAACTACAGTCTTTGACTAGACCCTCAAAAATACCTAAGTAGACAAATAGCAGAAACGCAAAGATGCATTTGCGAATTAATCATAAAAATGGATCATGTACTATAACTTTGCCGTATATGCGTCATTTTTAATTATTCAAGGTTTTGATCCGTTTTTGAAAAATATTTAATTTATTTAGATAATTTAATTAAACAATTAAATAGTCATTTCACAAAATATCAAGCAAATTAAACTTAATAACATTCCGGTATGCGTTATTTTATATAAAGGCTTTATTAAATGCATTGTTGCAGGATGTACTCATAATGGCAACTTTGGAATTTCAAATACCGCGCTTTTCGGGAAAAAAATAATTAATATTTTTCCTCTTCTACTTCAAGTTTGATAGGTGGGCCCAAACCACTATTTTTTAAATTCCTTTTTTTTAATTTTCATCTTTTAAATTTATACAGGGTGTTCTCAGAATGATGTACGCTTTTACAGATATGTAAAAATGATGAAAATTTGTCGTCGAGATATCGGTGTAGGGATATGTCTATTCGATATGGCAGAGCTTCATTTTACAAAATATTTCGAAAGTATACTAATTATGACGGTCTACCAAACTTGGGATAGTTCTATTTGTTATTTCTCGAAAAGTTGTATATCACTGAATTATTATTTTAGGTCTATGCATATACATTATAAAAACCAGCTTCATATATTACATGAACAAATATCAGATTACAAAAATGTATTTATTACTCAAGCATTTCTTCGCCATGTGCCACAGAAAATTTAAGTGAACAATAATTCTTTGTCTATAATCTCTACTCAAAAATAAATAAATAAATATTTGGTGTATATTTTCGGTGGATTTTAGCTACTGATGTTTTTTTGACGTTTTTAACTTCTGATGGTTACTCAGTGAATGTATTACTGCTGTTTTGCAAAAATGTACTCAAACACTTACTGTCGCAGAAAAAAGTATAGTATGCAACACGTTGACAAACTTCTTCAGTCTCTCGTTTATTAAACACTCGCTTTCCTCCTGCCAAACCAAGCTGGAGACTAAAGTGTCAGTTTTTTGAACCATTACAATTTGAAAATTTAGTTCTTTCAAAGTTATAGACAATTTTTATCATTTTGATTGATAAAATGTGATGTTATTATATAATATATAAAATGTGAATTCTAAAATTAGGTGTTTTCATTGGACGCACTTTTCTGGAAAATGAACACGGATCTTTGTTGTAATCGTGAAAACTGCAATCCGACGGTTCCCAATCTACGTTATCGGATTACATTCTGACATGGTATCAAATTGCCGAGTGCAAATTCAATATTGAACCGTTGGTGCGTCGCAATTAAAACCTAAAAGTAATATCGATTAGAAAAATATCGCCCATTACACCGAAAACGAGAGAATTTTCATTTCGACGGACAATGGTCTCGCCCATTTTAATTTCGGTTTTTGTAATGAAACCAAATATTGCAGTAGGCATCGTTGACGGCGGTTTTATCAACGACGGAATAAAAGCGCCGGAGAGTTGGTGAAGCATTCGTAATAAATAATTCCTGAAAGATAAATTGAAGATTCAAAAAAATGTTCCCAATATTTTGATGCATGAATGAATGTATAATATTTGCCTCATTTTATAGAAACTAAAACCAACTTTTTTTTCTGTTGTTGGTTTTCAATTTTATGTATTTGGGAAAAACCTTATTTTGCAGACATTTGTTAAAAAACCAAATGTTTTGGGAACATATTCGGCAACGTAGAAGCAATTTAAAATACCAAATAGCCAAGAAACCAATTTCAGCTTCTTTCAAAAATTGAACTGAGGTGGCTTTTACTTGATGAAAATCCATTTATCAAAATAAATAAGAACTAAATGTGAACATTTGATAAAGGCACGGTGTTGTCTAAACAATTGTCATGTCATAATATATAATGTCGTGAAAATCTGAACTTTTGGTTCTTATTTATTTTGATAAATGGATTTTCATCAGGTAAAAGCCACCTCAGTTCAATAACACCAACTTTTTATCTAATTAGTGAAATAAATATACCGGGTTCTTCATTTAAAGAGAAATATTTGCGTTTCTATAAGAAATCGGATCTACGCGTAACTTTAACACTCTAGGAAAGATGGGGCCAAAATCCTTACTATCTCAAATGGAACAAGGGATCGAGTGATAGATCTTTTCAAACGGCGTTCGACTGTCTTTATAATGATATCCCATTTGTGAAATTCGGTCAGATGGACATAACATCTACATTTGCTTTTATACAATTTTTTTTTCTACATGAAAGCAGATATTTGAGCAGTTCATAAATTAAGCTTACAAAAAAAACGAGAACAGACTACTAATACTTAACCAAGAGCAACTACCTCAATTACGATAGTTATAATTATTTTGTTTATCTTCATCTTGTACATTGTGATAACAAATTTCAGAGAGAATTTTTTTCACCGGAAATGTCAGCCACCTTCAATCAATTACATTTATTGATTATTTTCAGCCAGTATGTAATACCAATTGATCTAGTTCCCAATTTTCCTTTTTCAAGAAATATTTTATTTATTAAGTTAAATTTGGTTACGTCTACCTAAGGAACACTCTTTTCCAGGTTCTATATTTTCTGTGTAGTGTTATTATTTTTACTTTCGCCCCATATCTTCCTTTTTAAATAAAAATAAAACATTGACGAAGTTTACCGCGGAACTCGGTTACGTAGATTATTTTCTCAGTAAATAATAGTCTATGGACAAACATCTCAACGTACATTCCAACGAAAGCGGCCGGATATGAGCATTTTTTATTTCCGGTTAAGTGGAACTGCTTTCCGGGCCCTTTTTTTATAGTGGATAATATTTTCAAGTTGGAAAAACTCTTATGCTATTACGGTTACGCTCAATTTTACGAGGCGAGAGATTTTACAGCCAATTTTATGATTTTATGCGATCCAAAGATATACTCCCGGAAAACAACACTCGTAAACGGAGTGTAAATGCGACATTTTTTTTGCACTTTGAAATTAAGCATTTCATTCCATCCTTTGCTTTTTTAAATCCCGGAGCCCTATTTTTATGCGTGCGGAAGCAATTCTTTGATAATTCTTTTGCTTCATATTTGCCCATTCTGCTTTAAAAAATACGTACATAAATTCGCGACTAAGTTTATTTTTAACCACTCAGACGCACATGTAGTCACAGTTGTACTAGACTCTAGATATTACTTACTCTACATCACAGTGGATATAATCGTAATGACTCCATGAAAGCTTAAAATTCCTTACAACATTCTACCACGCATTGAACTTACGGCAAAGACAATAATTCCTTGTCAATTATTGACAATATAGAAATTATGTATTATTATGATTGGGCCGATGACAACATAAAATTAAACGAGGTACATTGGCCAATGATGTAAAAAATTTACAGTTACACATCAGTGGAACGAAGGTGTTGGGACCAGAATATAGGTCTGTACAGGGTAGAATATTTTAGCAGGAAAAAGGGAACTAGAGCGAAATCGATTTACATGTCAGTTTTGGTTGATTTTTTAATTTTTGGGCATTTAGAAAATTGCCGATAACTTTTTTATTTATGAGAATGAATGGATTAGATAAAATCATTATTAAAACACTTTTTATAACTTAAATGCAGTGACATACTTTTTTCTATAATTCTGCTTTTAGTCACCAATGGATACAATTTAATTATTTTATTTGATAATCATAGTTGTCTTAAAAAATACTTGCGTTAGTACCTATCACACAGAAATTACTGAAATACAAAATAATCAAAATTTAACCAATAAATTGGCCCCTTCTTGAATGCTATTAATATTAATCAGATATACATTAATTAGATTACTTTAACGTACATGTTTTTTGGCGTTTTAGTTTTACAATATGTAACACATTTATCATTTATGTAAATCTTACACAAAACACAAAATCCAACAAAGAATAAAGGCGATGTCGTTAGTTCATATTGACAACTACAAGCACGCGTTACTTATATACAGGGTCAGTAAAAAGTACCGGAAAGTCTAAATATCTCCAAAACTGATAACTCTGAAACGATAAAATTTAATACCTGGTAGTTCTTGAACATGCAAAATTCAAAAACGCTAACAGCAATGTTGTCAGATTTTCCACTTTTACGTTTCACTACATAATTTGAATAGCGCATATTTTTTATTTACATTTAATTACATTGCCTTTCAAATTGTATCGTTCCAGCTTTGGCAGCTTTAAAATAACAAAATTATGACATGCAATGTAAATGTGGAAATCTGACAACATTGCCTATAGCGTTTTTAAGTTCCGCATGTTCAAAAACCGCCAGGAATTGAATTTTATCTTTCCAGCTTTGGCAGTTTAAGAGATATTTAGCCGTTCCGCTACTCTTTACCGAAAAAACTGTGTTGTCGGAGCTCAATAGTTAATAGAAAAAAATTGAAATTATGACATGTTGCAAAAAAAACTTCAGTTCCATTCAAAGTAACCAAATTGTGACATGTAACGTAAAAGTGATAAATCTGATGAGCATGTTCAAATACCCCCACATTTTGCATTTTCTGGGTTCCGCTTTTTAGTTTCGAAATATTTGACGTATTTTTTACTAACCCTGCATAAAAGACTCATTTATCCAACCATTTTTCATGATCGATACCAATAACCAGATACTGTTGAAAAGATTTCCAGTCTGACATTTTTTTTTAATAATTATGTTTGCCATATAAAATGAAACTGGAAAACGAGAAATTATAATTAAAAGTATGCTACAAGAGGATTTTAATGATGTCGTTATCGGAATGAAATATTTTCTTAAAAAAATGCATTATTTTTGCTGATTGCACTTAGTTTAGTTTATTTGTGGAATAACATCTACATATAAGGATGTCTGCAAATTAGACTAATTAACATGCGGAATAAAAATTATCACTATTGTAAGTTGCCTTACACATGTGCTGCTTTATTAACAGCTATAGAGACTAATAATGTTTATTAAAATTTTCTTAGCAAAAAATAACTTACACTTGTGCTTTTTTCATATTACGATTATACGAAAATACTTCCCGTGTCATTTGAACAAGAATGAAAGGATATGCACTACTTTTACACTAGGAACCCGTAAAATTGTTATTGCATAATAATGTTAATTAAACACATAAAATTATTTTATTCATTTCTCAAAGACACTTCCACAGGCTACTGTAATACTTTTTACAAAACTTCTGGATTCCTTCTGAGTCGGTTTTTGTTGAGTCGAAATTGCTGACGTTTCGCCAATCACCCTGTTGGCTTCTTCAGAGCTTGAGTGAAACTGAAACTGAACTGAACTGAAATTGAAATAGTTTCAATCAAGCTCTGAAGAAGCCAATAGCAATTTCGACTCAGCAACAACCGACGCAGGAGGAATCCAGAAGTTTTATAAAAAGTATTTTATTCATATTTGCGTTAAATGCTTTCTTTTATTACATAATCATTTAACCGTACAGAAATCAAAATGTGTAAATAAATATTCATTACTATCATTTACCTTTCTTACGAGTCAAAGTGAGATACGGGATTAATAATAATCGGCCAGAAACCCGTCCCCATAATATCAATTTCCCAACAACACGGGGCGAAAACCAATTCCGCAGTAAATCCCAATCAGAAGCTACCACAAATTTATCCGGAATGTAATATATTGTTTCGATAAAAGGCCAGTCGTCAAGGACACTTCAGGATCCTGCGGAATTCATCATCAATTTTTGAAATGCTTTCCATGAGGTACAATGGAAAACGAATTTCGCTTTTTATTAATTTTGAAAGTTTCGGTAAGAAATCACCTTTAATTTTCATCCCAACAATTCTCAAAATATTTTTGAAGTTATTTCAATTTTTCGGGAAGTTACGTATTTGGCAAATAAATAATACGTATGAGTATCGCAATTAGACAATTTCGGTAGCTTAGAATAAGTATAATTTTCTGATGTTTGAAGCTATATCTGTTTTTTTTGCAATCTTTTATTTTCCTCGACGTGCCTTTTCAATAATCTACATGTTAGAAATTTCCAGATTTCGACCTGTAGAGTTTAAGGTGGGGACGTGGTTTAGAGTATTTAGTTCTAGAATACAACTTGTAGTAGTAATGCCGTCCGAATTGTAGTTTCCCTTTCTTAATTATGACAAATATTTTTACGCAATTTATTAGAAACGTCTTTAACATTTGCAGCGTTTCGATAGCTATTATGACTAAGGCGGCATACTTCAACGTCTCTACTGAATCTCTAAAAGATTCTTCCATCATCAATCCAATCGTGTTATAATTAGCACGGCAATATGCATCGGAATATTCCTTTGCTCTCCATTCCCATTTGACTAATGAGACGGCAACGACGATCTCGATTCTCAATTCGATGCCATTAAGTTGTATTGGCAGATGTCCCCTAATTGCGTGCAATTCTAACGTTGATTACGTAGTGATTATGATCGAAGAAAAGTCATAGCGACTCTCAGCTTAGAGAAATCCGTATTGAATCGTTTCAGATAAATAAAGTCTTAATTTTCCTGCGGGTTTTGTTTAGGGGATGTTAGGGAATGATAACGCTGCAAGGGTATTATACAAAGTTTTAAAGTAACCATCGACAGCTTGGCTCGCCAGGAAGGCAAATATTAATTAATGTATAGGCAAAGGTTGCAAATTCAACTCATTGATATCATGAAAATGGGAATATGCGTATATCATAACGGACTTTGCTACTTCCAGAATTTAATAGACCGACTAGGCAACTCTTGCCATTATAAGCCAAACTTCATCTCTTAGAGACAAATTTGAAAGATATTGTAAGTAATTGCACATTCGTAGGCATTCACAAAGAAAAGGTGGATAAAAAGACACAAAACGAACAATTGGTGCGCAGTAATTCCAACGGTCAATTATCAGTCCAATCTATGGGCAGTCAAGTGAAGGTCATAAGAACTGAATCGCGTACTAAAATGTACACCCCGTACGGCACTATAGAGTCAAAGGTTCAGTGTGCCATTCCGCTTAAATCAAAAATATGTCGTAATCGTAAGGGTAAGCAGGAAATCTTCTCATCCCACTAGTCTCATGTAGAAAACTGCAATTGATATTTTCACCACGCTCACATGTTTCAGACTCAAAACAAAGAAACAACCCAGACATGAATAACACCCGAATAGCTCAGAAGTCTTTGAAATTAAAATTTTGCTCCGAAAAATGCGGTAGACGAGCCCAAATCGGCATACCAGACGCTGCGCAACTATTGTGCAAATGCCAGCCAGAAAACCAGATGTTTCCGACGAGGGAATCCAAAAAATTGGAAACTAATTCAAGAGCTCAGAGTAAATCCAGAGCTGAGGCCGAAAAAATCGATAAGGATTTGGGTAAAAGACGACCTGATTGTTGTAAAACTATTTAAGTATTATTTGCTACATGCAAAGAGCGTATCAATCATTCTAGAAGCTGCGCAATATGAGTCACAGACCGATAACTATCTGGACCAGTCGACAACCCACAGCATCATAGATATCGCGAATGGTGAAACGCAAGATGAGGTTGGTAATAAACAGCATAAGGAGCACTGCGTAGACGCCGAGAAAATTGATAAGGATTTGGGTAAAAGATGACCTTATTGTTGTAAAACTATTTAAGTATTATTTGCTAGATGCGAAAAGCGTATCAATCGTTCTAGAAGCTGAGCAATATGAGTCACAGACCGACAACCATTTGGACGGGTCGACAACGCACAGCATTATCGATATCCCGAACGGTGAAACTCAAGGTGAGGTTGGTAATAAACGGCATAAGGAGCATTGCGTAGACGCAATAAGTTTCACAGAAGAAGATCCATCCGAAAACGTTTCGACATACGAGGATCAAAGTGTAGACCATAAGGATGAATCTGAAACCAAAGCTTCTGTTCTGACAGAGGAACCTAATGTCGCATCGGAACATGGTTGTGGTAAATCAATTTAAGAAAATAATTGTCACTTATGTAATATTGCCTAGGTGCTATCAGTAGCCTAAAGACAGACAGAGCAGAGTCCAATGTCACCGAAATGCATATCCTAAATACAAACAATCACTCGGAAAATCTCGAAAATCTCACAGGCAAGGTTGAAGAAGCAGGTGCCACTCAGCAGTCTCTAGAATCGCCCGCCATTAGCATTGTCAATGCAGAAACAGACCAAAACGTGATGATCGTAGACTCGCACGTAAAGAAATCTGTTGTTGACTTTGCGATTCATATGAACAGTGAACCCGAAAATCAACTGGAACAACTCGCGGATGAATTGGTTCGAGTTGTAAAGGCCCACAGAAGTACTATACAATCAAGGTATGCTTTAAAAGAGAAAGTAATTTCATGTGCAGAGTCGCTATTGAAAATTATGCATCCGGTAAATAATGATTCACATGAGTCTGAAGTAACTCAAGGGTCTGATGCAGAAAGACGAGGTAGCTCGAAATTAAAACCGATGGTACTTTCCCATGGTCCGTCTGCACTGGTTCTGGTCAAGCAATTACTAGAAGAGATACACCTACGATCTGATGTGAAGAGAGAATTGGAACTTATTTGGGAAAATAAAGATAGAAGTGGAAGCATGGACAAATCATCCCAAGTTTTTGTTAAGTTAATAGCCGACATGCTTGCAAGCACACGAAAAGATAGAAGGTCGAGCTCGTTGAGTTACATTGACTTAGATCATACGGTGTTGAAGTCGAGTAAAGTTAGAGAAAGCGCGAGTCTTTTTATGGCCGAATACCTAACGGAAGGGAAATCAATTACCGACTTCACATTTTGGAGTTTTTTACCACGGGTGTTTCACGATTACGTAGTCGATAACATTTTCCCTATTCCGCAATTCGCTAATGAACTGGTCGAACAAATATCCGATTCGCTGGGGAATACCATAAAACTATCATCCGAATTGAACGAGACGCAGAAGAAAACTGCTCTGGACTACATCAACAGCTCCAAGTCTGCAGTCGAGCAATTCATCAAAAATTTCCTTTGTTATTGTTTAGATGACGATGAAGTAGTACAGAATGTTATCGAAGTCGGGCGATTTGTGGATGCCAACATTCATCAATCGAGTGAGATGTTAGATAATTTTTTGCAGGAGCTTGCCGACAATATTATATGCGGGATGTACAAAAAGAAGCAGGAGATATTTGCAAAAACCGCCGCCCTGCTGGACTACGTCGCTAAAGAGATTTTTGTTGAACTGGAACGCTTGTGGCCTAAAGCTACATATGCTTCCCAACTCATCCAACAAAATCTTACTCTCAAGGTGACTTTTGTAAACTTCGTTACAGAATTTTTTACAAGATTGGAAAGGGAAGAGCGTTACCTCGAAGAAGTGTTAGTAAATTTCTTAGCCGATTTGGTGTGTGAGATGAAATGGAGCCGTGACAATCCGGAGAGGGAGAACTACCTCCAAGAAACTTTTGAACATCTGGTAGGGGAACTGCAGAAACCAATGATTCTGCGCTCGCAAAAGGGAAGAAATCAAATAAAGGAGTTAATTTTTGATATAGTACAAGAAGCAACAGCCGCAGTGCGGATGATAAAAAAATCTGAAAACAAGCGTAACTCTGAAGGCGATGATGTCTCCAGTGGATGGCAAGCCGATGTTTCGGATGCTTCGACTGACAATTTGCCAATCTTAGGACGCCCTTTTTATTGGGCAAGCCACGCTATGGACAAAAATGCATCAGGGCGAAAAGGAAAAGACCCGCATCTCAGCTCCATTTATCACTCCAAAGATACCGATAGCAATTCTACCCTAAATGAGATGGTGCTTCGCGTTGTCAATGGTGTACCTATCGAAATGGATCTCTCGACACTGGGTAAATCTTTATCCAGATAGAACTTGCTTGTTGTTTTTAACCTACACTTAGGTCCCATGTGACCGGTTAGCCCGTAAGGAATGACATCGCATCTTAAAAATTGCTAAAAAATATCCAAAAAGTGTGTATGTGTAAAATTTGTTTGTGTGGATGTTTATATTTTCGTCGCCAAGTACCACTTTCTTTTTTTTAAACATAACATAAAAAAGTGGCGCTTGTAAATGTATGTAAAGATTTCTTCGAGAGTTTCATCATAGAACAGGATTTACTTTAGTGGTCCCTGTTGATATTTTAAAATTAAATAAATACAGGTTCTAAAAAAACTAAAATTTAATAAAAATTCGTACAGAATCACTGTATTGTAAGAATAAAAAAATTGAAAATTGTGTAAAGAATGCCTTTGAATAAGATGACCTATTACCCGTTAGAAATGAAAAATGCTGTAAAGCATATAAATATATATCATATTTTGATATTAGTTGGGTTTGATATTGAGGACGAAAAACAAAATCGAGCACTACAGGAATGTCTCTATTTTGGCTTCCTGTGAGTTTGGAAATGAATGTTTGACAGTTTGATGCCATCTACCTTGTCATTTTTATTGCTTTTTTATTTAAAAAAAGTGATCTAATGTCTATACAACGTTTTTAATAATTAAATAATAGTTTATTATTTGCAGCATTCAGATAAAAATACGTAAAAGTGAGATTTTTCATAAAACGACTCTATTAATTGCCTAATTCTAACGACTCTTAATTTACTAATTTTTTATTATTCGTTTAACACTTGTTACATGTCGGTTTTCGATTATTTGGAAATTTTTTTGATAACATTTCTTCTGTTCTTAGAAACTAAATAAATTTAAATGACTTTTGTGTTAATAACAGTAATTGGCAGTAAATTGCTGCTACTTCTGTAGTGCATAAATTTTTTGTGCCATGTTCGTCCGTACACCATTTTTAAAATGTAAAAGCGTTTTGCTATTATGCAATTGCTAATATTTCGAAATCTATAGCTTGTCCGTTTTTTGAGAAAAAAGACGCCTTCACGATTTCTCCATTTAATGTTTTAATATTAATTTTTGCCCACCCTGTATTTATTTATTTTTGAAATATTAACACAAACCACTAAAGCAGAAATAAAAAATAAATAAACTCCAATTATATAATAATTGGCATAAAATTCAAAATATGTTAGAAAAAGGAATTCAAAAATCGCTTAATATACCTACAGGAAGTTCTATTTAAAATAAGTGTTGTCCTACCTAAAAACTCTACACCCTTGTAAAATTTTTGTTTATGGATCTATCGCCCGCGAGATGTCCAGCACCCTGTATTCGAACTTCATGGATGTTAATATAGCTAGGTTTTATGTAGTCCTGAATAAGAATTCGACACTTTATTCTTATAGAAATCCCTAATAGCCCTTCTCGATATTTGACGTCAAAAATTAGTCATTTTTGTGAGATTTGTCCAACAAAAAAAAATTAAAAACCAAACCGTAATCAAAGATTTTACAACGATGTACAGCCTTGAGCGGGGCTCGAACGATATTTCAAACACCCTGCATTGAAATATAAAAATTGGTATAGTTGGGTTCTAAGTAACCCTGAATAAGAATTGTTGCCAATTTGACTCTTCTCTTTGTTTATTCTTAGTTGGCCATAACTTTAAGTTGAAGCAATAAGCAAAACAAAATTTTAGTGCATTCTTCGGCTACCAATCCAACAAAAAAAATTTGTCAAAATCGAACCATAAACAAAGATTTTACAATGGGACACCCTGTATAACAACATAATATTTTAAAGATATGAATGGGTGTCAGTGTTTTTGATACTTTTACAGAGATAAGGCGTCATAAAACAGTAAATTACCATCTAGGTCCATACATACACCGTTTTGTCTGTTTTAAACTTTTACATTTCCTTCTAACATTTCGTATCTAAATAGAAGTGCATATCAAAAATGCGGTACGAGAAGTTCTAACAGATCTGCGGGCGACAATATTGGAATCGTGTTCTTGCTCGAAGTTGAAGCATGATCCGGCGGATCGTGCTGAGTAAACGGGTTATATTTTGGCGTCAATAAAATCGTAGGTAAGCAAAACGGAAATGGGTTATCTCTCAGATATTAAATTAGAACGTCAATCACTAGAAAATCGGATGTCTTATCGAAATGCGAAAAATTTATCACCTCAATGAAATGAAGGTTCTGTTTTTTTTATAGTGAAATATATCATATCAGCAAACACAAAATTTTGATTTGCAATCAGCAATACAGCACGTGTACCACATGCCAGGGTCTTATTTAAGACGTAAGCCGACATGAACTTGAAGAGTTGCATAGTGTTTTGAACTTTTAGTGTTGCCAAGAGAATTTGCGTGCGTTCATACGAAGAATTGGTTTTTATTACAAAACGATAGTGAATAATAGAATAGATAGAATAACTTTTTTTAATAAATATTCTAACATTGTTTTATATATAAATTTACTCATACATTTATATTTCTGTAGTAGTTCCGTTTATCAAGTATTGGCATAAAATTATATTTTCTTATAAATCGGAATGCATTAATTGTATTACATACCGTAATATATTTTCAAATTACATAAAAACTATGTTATGGCGCATACTCAAACCATATGGTTTAATTTTCTGCAAGAAAAATAATAGCAGTCTGGGAAAAACACAAAAGATAATTTAGCACTAATTGTATAACAATAACGTCATTTAAAAAGAATATAAGGGGCTACCTGTCAAATGGCGTTATAGTTTCAAAAGCTCTTCGCACCACAACTTCTAGTACTCTCTAGTATTTATCTCTTCTCTACATGCCAGCTCTCTGATTATTCCCCAAAGGAAAAATCCATGGTAGTCAAGTCGGGACATCTAGTCACTTGTTTTATGGATCTCTGATTCGCAATCCAGTTATTTTGCAATTCATTAATTTAAAAATAAGTAACTGCACTGTCTGGTGGCACGCCATCTTGCTCCCAATAAGTTTGAGCCAAAGGTAAATTTTCCATTATAATTATGATGTGTGCCACAACTTTCATTCCTATCAGTAACTCGTAAATACAAGACGCTGTATACGAACTTTTGACAACTTCTTGTTGATCTGAAAATGTTTATTTCAAATATAACTCTTTATAAAAATAGACAATTAGTATCGTTCCATTTGCAAAAATTTTTGTTATAACCAGTAAATTTTTCATATAATTTGAGGGCTAGAGTCCCAAAATTTTCATATATTTTCTTAATGCATATTCTATTCAGATAATTGTCTTTTTTATCAATTTTTTACAGAATATTACAAGTTAATTCCAATTTGATTTTATAACTGCTACCAATAATTTTACATAATGTTTTTTTCAAGAATCGCGTAATATTCGGTTATGTCAGAAGAACTCGTGGAAACTTTCAATAACCACTCAGACGGAGCTGTCAAACATTTTGGCCCTTAACTCTATCTTAACTCCTGGATTATCTATAACCGAGGGTCAGCTCTCCGTCGGGATAACAACCCGTCCTACACAAACCCTTAAACTAATCTTGACCGGGGTTAGAGTGAAGCAAACCTTTTCGCATTTAGTACGACATTCTCTTGTGATCTCGTTCATTATTTAAAAGAGAAAGGAAAATATTTTCAGCGCGTTGCAGATGTTAGCAAAACCATTTCAATCCAACCAGATAGTTAAATCTAAGGAAACTGAGGGAGGACGTTTTTAATTGTCAGCAATTGCGTGTTCTAACCGAATCGTAGCTTTAAATACTGCTCCCCTCCGATTCAGAATATTGGTCTAAAAAAAATTAAATTTACTGTTACAGATTAACCTATCGAGAGGATCTTCTCTGTGAAATATGAACAGCGATCGAAAGTGCCATTATCTCGTCGCATAGTGCAAGAAACATCGAAAACCATGGCTAATCTATCCAACAACTTTACCTACTGCGATTTGGAAGAATTCAGAAAACACTACAAGGAGAACATTCACGGGTATCTCAGCCTGACGGTCTGCATATTCGGATCGATAGCGAATATTTTCAACATTTGTGTTTTGAGGAAGATGAGATCGCCCACCAACTGCATACTGGTTGGTTTGGCCGTCGCGGACCTTTTAGTAATGGCCCAGTACATACCTTTTACCGTGCATAGGAATTTGCCATCATTACCGTTGTACTACACGCATTTTAACTACAGTTGGGCGGTTTTCTACAAATTCCATTCCTTATTCACCCTGGTTTTGCATTTCATCGCTTGCTGTCTGACCATTATCCTCGCCATCTGGCGTTACGTCTACGTATCTCAAATTCACGCCAGCAACATCTGCTCGGACCAAAAAAGAACGGTCATAGTGATACTAGTAACTTATATCGCCTGTCCCATAATATGTTTCCCTATGTATTCCACTCTGGAAATAATGGGATACAACCAGACCTGTGATTTGAACGGAGTGATAGTATTAAAAGAAGACAGACCAAAGTATCGAAAACTCAAGAACGAAACCATCTTTATTTTGCATCCGAACGATCCAAACTATTTGAGCGTATGGGTGTACAGTTTGTTGCTCAAGCTCCTGCCATGCATTTTGCTCACGATCTTATCGTACAAGATAATATCTGCCCTATTAGAAACGAGGAGAAGGAGAATTAAGCTCCTAAGTTCGAGCAGCCCCCTGCAAAGTGGCAGTAGACGTCCCAAATCCAGCACGATTCAACTTTACAAGGAAAACCAGGCGGATCGGACCACAAAAATGCTGCTGGCTGTGTTGCTGCTCTTCCTAGTCACCGAATTCCCTCAGGCGATACTTGGTCTGACTAGTGCCATTTACGGGCAACAGTTCCTCGATGAATGTTACGCGGCTTTGGGTAAGTCTTGACGTTCAGTTTTTTTATTAAATTCATCAAATCTAAAGTTGTATTTTTGGTGAACTTCCGTACGCAGAAATAGATTTGCACTTATTCATATAATTTCAGCATTGCAAAGCTTTTTACCATGCGAATGGAGTGATTAACAGCACTTTTAAGGTTAAGAATAACATGACCGGGTATTATTATAAACTTGCATGCAATTTTTCAACGATTTAAAATCCCGTAATATCTGTTATTGTTCGAAAAATTTGTGTCAACAAATTCCCAAAATAACTTCCTAAATAGCGGAACCACATTTTGAAAACAATCTGGTTTTTCCTGAAGGTAATGCCAAGCCAGTGCGCTTTACGCAGGAAATCTATAGAATTGTATTGCGAAGTTGTAACGGACTACTTCTCCGTCAAACGATAATCATTCATGTTCTAGTTTGTTAATTTTAAAGCAACGCGTCGTCGTTAGAATTTGTTCAACTAATGAGCGTTTATTTAACTGTGGAAACCAAATCGATACAACTCGATTTAGACTTATCGACGGTTCATTAGCAGGTTCATGTTTATCGACTAAACATTGTGGCCTACAAAAATAAAAAATATATTTAGATTTCTGTGAATGGTTAAAAAAAATTGTGTCGTTTGTTTGATTTTTGTACATAACTGCAGTGTTCGGTTTACCTACCTTTGTGTGCTAAATAGCATATAATTCAAGACACGTTTGCAAAAACCCAGCGAAGTGAAAATCCAGAATCGGCAAAGTTCCTTGGAGTACATATATATCCAAAACTTAGAAGGCACATACAAGCGAAGAAAGAATAATTTACTGGCCCGTCAACGAGTACGAGAAAACTTGCTGCTCAGGAAAGAATCGCTTGCTCTACAGTTTGGGAACAAATTGCCTTTAGCAGAATCACAAATCCTCAAAAATTGCTACTCTCGTTTTAAGTCGCTAAGTGTTATCGTTTAACCACAAATCGATTTTTTATTTTCGGCTCGAATTTTACCTATAAATGTGATTTTACCTAACAGGACTTGATGAAATTTGAAAAAGTCATTGTTACAATCCGTTAAAAATTAGTTTCTATTAAAAGAGCTTACTATTCAACTGCTACAGTGATGGCCCATCAGGAATATTCAAATTTCGCGATATGCATTTTTGCTACGGAAGGGCAAATAGAAATGCAGATCAAGCACGACGGCTTTATATCAAGGTTTCCATTAGAAACGTTCCATCTGCTAAGATGTTCATCAACATACACAGAAGACTCGGTGAAAGAGGATCATTCAAACCTGATAGTATGTATGAAGGGAGACCGCCAACGAGTACAGCCCTTACATGTTCAAGGGTTCAAGCACTGTATGAGGGTGATGAGCAATTGAGAGTAATTTTATGCAATCAAATTTTAGGAAAAAATTAAAAATTACCCGAAACTCTTAAATATCGTTTTGTGCACTGACGAGGCTCCTTTCAGTCGTGTTGGCATTGTAATTTTTCACATATATCAGTGGAACATTTTTCAGTTTTCCATAAACGTCTGGGCAGGGATTATAGGAGAAAATCTTATAGGACCTTATTTATTTAACGGATCGCTTAATGGGAAAATGTATTGGCAATTTCTCCAAAACTACCACCCTTGCAGTTTAGACAAAACATGTGGTTAACGCAAGATGGCGCAGCCCACTTTACATTGGCTGTACGAAGGTATTTAAATCAGGTATTTACACATCGATGGATAGGTCAGGGCGGACCTCTAGCTTTTCCGTCTCGCTCACCAGACCTTAATCCGATGGACTTCTTTTATTGGGGGCTCTTAGAGTCTTTAGTGTATGAAACACCTTCAACAGATATCATGCCATCAAATTTTTGGGCACGGTATGGAAGTTATGAACACAAAACGTGCGGCAGCAAAATTTTTCCCCGAAACTGCTTAATTTTGAACAAAATAACCGCCGAAGGAACATCGCTCAAGAGCTGTTAAACGACGTCAGTGATGATCTTGATATGCTCAAAAAAGTCATAACTGGTGACGAATCATGGGTGTATGGTTATGAAGTCGAAACCAAAGCCGAGCCGTCTCAATGGAAAAACCCAGACTCGCTATGACCGAAAAAAGCACGTCAAGTTCGATCAAATGTCAAGGTTTTGCTTACTGTTTTCTTTGATTATCGTGGCGTAGTACATCAAGAGTTCTTACCACAAGGTCGTACGGTCAATGAAGAGTATGACCTCGTTTGCGAGAAGCAATGCGAAGAAAACGTCCGGAATTGAGGGAAAACAATTAATGGGTTTTGCATCACGATAATGCACCTGCTCACTCATTGTTGCTTGTGCCTAACGTTTTGGCTAAAAACAAAACCACAATCATGGCTCAGCCATCATATTCACCGGATATACTTTTTCCTGTTCCCGAAACTCAAAAAACCCATGCAAGGAAGGAGGTGTGGAACGAATGAGGAGATAAAAAAAAAATCGCTTGAAGAACTCGAGCCTATACCAGGATGTGCTTACCAGAAAGTAATTAATTTTGATAAACAAATAAATACTTTTTGATAAAACTTAAAAGTCGCCTCACTTTTTGACATCTGACCTGTTTGTAAAAAAAAACCTCAAAAGCCGTACCAGGATTATCAAGAATTATTGCAGAGAGAGCAAGGTTTAGTTTTATCACGAACCATATGAAAAAGTAAAGTTGATGATGACTTCGCCGAAACAAAATGTCCTACTTAAAATCTCTCAACGCTATCTTGCAGAGTTCAAAAAGCGGCAACAAGAAAGTGACCTTTATTTTTTATATCTCTTTAATTAACACCAGAAAAAAAATTCTATTTCTATTTTTTTTGCGCATCTTCGGGAGTGATGGGAATTTTTCATTTTTCTCAACACCTTATTAACCTATATTTCTTGCATCCTTTTAACCGTCTTCATCATGTCTCTTATGGTTTCTAATACGCCAATGATAGACATCCTTATTGTGGACATACTACCTACCTACCTGCTTCAGCGTTAAAAGTAATACGACTTCAATTTTACACAGACTACCGTTTTGTCTGGCCAATATATGTTTCAATTTCTTGCCCGATACATTTGCTAATTGGTGCCTTTTTGATGAGAAATGTAAAGTAATTAACCGGAGCTCTACTTTATCGGTAACAAGGCCATAATTAAAAACAGGAAGGCTGAGTGCGCTTGAATAAATAACTCCGAGTTTAACCCACTCTCTGAGCTTTCATTTTTATAGCTTTTTCGAACGAAACCTTGACAGGGCTGCTGAATAACGTCCGTCACATAAATCATTCGAATCCATAAATTTATCGCCATTTCATGGGCTACTGGGTCCCCGGTCCTTACTGTTAAATATTTTATGGGTTCATTATGCTTTTTATCGCCGATTCTTAAAGCATTCCGGTCATAATTCGGACGGAATTTTGAACGGCAAAAATTAATGAAGGTGCGGCCGTGTTTTGAATTTGAGACACTTAATAATTATCAATATTTGACAGCCGTAGCTGTTTGGAGCCATAACTAAACCCAACATATCAAAATCAATTATTGAAAAAAATTATCTAAAACATTTTTCGAAAATTAACTACACTACTTACAGCTAAGCTAGTAAAAATGCCCATGAAAATTGTGGAAAGTTAGGGCCTAAAAAAAGAACTGTATTCATTCATTTGAAATAATGGTGATTACATACAGCCCTTCATTTTTCTTTTGAAAACAACTTTTCCGAATATTAAAGAGGTTGTTTTAATTAGTAAAAGGCTGCTTTCTACAAATTGTGCGTAATACATCAAGTCTTAATTAATTACAAGAAAGAACCAGAGATCGAGAGAGAGACAGGCTCAATATCTAAAACTTGGACGCGACATACATTATCATTTAATTAGTTAGCAGACAAATAAAATCACAATTTATCAGCGTAATCGAATCGATTGGCAATTCGTTTGTTCAATATCAGATAGCGTCAGTTATAATTATGGCTCAATTGGCAATGTAGCGAAACATTAGCGACGCTGAAAATACAGAGTTAGTTCAAGTTTCACGTAGAAATTTAATTCAATGAAAGCAGCAGAGACTCACAAAAAAAAGTGGCATGATCTTGTTGTGTGTTCATGTATCGAATTGTTTTAAGTGGAATATTAAATGTAGGGTGTTCCGAAATTAGACGTCAGTATTTTAACCACGTATTCTGTAACTTTATTGCTGTCTCAGAAAGAATAATGGCCATCCAATTAATTGAATATTATCCAGATATATGCCCCAACTGCCGATAAAACGGATGAAGAAATCGAACAGTTTTATAAATCATTAATAGATGTCCTAAAGCAGTTTGATAAGCACGATATGGCAATAATCATGGGTGATATGAACGCGAAGATTGGAAGAGGAACATGCGGCGAACTCAAAGGTGGATTCGGTTTCGGATCAAGGAATGAACGCGGTGACAGGTTAAAGCTCTTCGTCGAAGAAGAAGGACATGTATTACTTAATATCTTTTTTACCCTACTGAACGACGATATACCTGGATATCGCCAGATAAAACAGTGAGAAACCAAATCGACTACATCCTTGTAAATAAAAGATTTAGGAATAGTTGTCTATCCGTGAAGACTTTCCCTGCCGCTGACATCGAATCGGATGATTGCCTTTTGGCGGAAAGACTGTCAAAAAGAAAACAGTTCGCAAGGAATGGGACATGAGAACCCTGAAAGAGGAGGAAACACGGAAGAGAGTGACAAACGTACTGAGAAATTTAAACAACTAGAGGAAGTAGATAACACAGAGGAATGGCTGCAAAAAATGTCTGATTTCTTCGGGGACATCGGAAACGAGCATTTGGTCGCAAACAGGGAGAAAAAGAAAAGCCGGATGATCGATAATATTCTGCAAATTATGGAAGACAGGCGAAAAGCGAAAAACATCGACGCGAGGTATAAAAATATTCATAGAGAAATAAGACGTGAAATAATAAGTGCAAAAGAAAATTGGCTTAGCGCAAGATGCAAGGGAAATA